GGAGGGAGGGAGGAAGGAAGGAAGGAAGGAAGGAAGGAAGGAAGGAAGGAAGGAAGGAAGGAAGGAAGGAAGGAAGGAAAAAAGAACCTTAATTCTCAAACTGTGTCTCTTTAGAAAACGGAAAGATCATTGCCAAAATCACGTAGTCTCTTCCCAGGCAAAAGAAAGAGGATACATAATTTACCTTGAAATTTTTCAAATATTTTTTTTCAAATATTTTCAAATATCTTTTTTCTTGCTTCATTGTGAATAACCTCTCTCCCTCTCTCATCATCGTTCTGTTTTCTACAGAATTCCATGCTTTAACTGCAAGCTGGCTCTTCCCTCTCTCTGACTCCCTCTGAAAGCCTCTCTAATGGAAGTTCTTCTTTGTCCCATATCTCTGGGGCTTATCAGGGGTCTTAGTGAGCTAGAGCCGCCATAGCAAAATACCCAGGGCTGGGTGGCTTAAACAACGACAATTTATTTCTCACAATTCTGGGGGCTAGAAGGCTGAAATTAGGGTGCCAGCATGGTCAGGTTCTGGTGAGGGCTCTCCTTCTGGCTTGCAGATGGCCCCTTTTTGTTGTGTCCTCAACCTCTACGGCCTTTCCTTTTTTGAATTCCACACAGTTCACTTGTCCAATGCTTCCCTCCAGTCTTATGATAAATTCAAAGACTCTTCTATCTTCTTGGATGGGACCAATATTTGGTTCATATTTTCATTTTTCTCTCCCCATCATACTTAATAATATCAACATGCACATTAATGAATCATCACACATTGAGGTCACAGAGGTCCCCAGTCCTCTTTCCTAGTGATCTTCGTCTCCACTTCTGCCATCCACTTGGCTTTTATTATCTCTTGAATATATTCCTTCTCCGAATCCTACACATTTGAGCTCTCTTCTTTCTGACCACAACCTCTTATTCTTCCATCTCTCTTCTTCTACATGTTTGTTTAACTTAATTTTTGTCCTTACTATAACGTACAGTTTTCCGGAACTTTTTATTCTCACCACTGCCAGCCTGGTTTGTGCTCTCAATGCCCCATTCTAGACTAACGCAATAGTTTTCTACCTCATCTCTCTGTTCTCTGACTCTCGTAGCTCCAGCCCACCCTCTTCAGAAGGCTGAATCAATCTTTCTAAAACAGAACTCCTTCTCCACATCATGATAAGTAGAAGAAGTCAGACATAAAATACTACATACTGTATGATTTCATTTATATAAGTTTCTAAAAAAAAAGCAAAATTATAGTGATAGAGGACAAATCGATGGCTGCCAGGAGGAAGCGGGAACAGGATGACTGCCAAGAGGCACAGATAACTCTTCAGGGGATGAAACTGTTTTATACTTTGTGTTGCTTACATAACTGTAAACATTTGTTTAAACTCTCTGAACTATATACTCAAAATAGGTAATTTTATTATATATAGATTATACTTTAGTAAAACCAATTTAAAACAATCTCCGTCCAAAATATGTTTAGTGCTTTCCTCACTGGCCCTGCATAAAGCCTTTATGCTGTAACCTGGCAGTTCAGGCACTCCCAGATTTCAGCTGTACTATCTTTCTAGCCTTATATCCTATTAATCTACTATATATACTTTATGCTGATGCCAGAGGCCCATGTGTTTTTAATTTTTTTAACAATTTGACACATTTTAATTGTACATATTTACAGGGCACAATCTGAAGTTTTGATACATTACATATGTTGTATGATGAACTGGTCAGGGTAGTTGGTGTATCCATCACCTCATGCATTTATCATTTCTTTGTGGCAAGAACATTCAAAAGCCTCTCCTCTACCATTAGCTGTGTCTTACATGTGTCATGTTCTGCAGCTTCTTTCTCTTTGACCATACCTTTCTTTTTTTGAAACATTTCCCCACCACACCTTATCTACTTAACAAGATTTTCGTTTAAACCCCAGCTCAAATATTAACTCTTTTGTCCACATTTCTCTGATATTTTTTGTGTATCTCGCATAGTAGTTACCACATGATTTTCTTCTCATAGTTATTTATGTATCTCATCTTCCCTAGTTACATGATTTTCTTCTCATAGTTATTTATGTATCTCATCTTCCTTTCTTATTCATCTTTATATGTAGTTACCACATGATTTTCTTCTCATAGTTATTTATGTATCTCATCTTCCTTTCTTATTCATCTTTATATAAAACAGGATGCCTAGCTACAAACATCTTTCTTTATCATCTTAATAATGAAACCTGCTTCTGCAAGGGAACAACCTATACATTTTTCTTAGAATGAAGTATGTACTAGAAGCAGGGAGACAAGACTAGAAGGAAGAAAACAAGGAAGCAGAGAGACTTGTGAGACCAACAGGGCTACAGATAGCTTGAATTTGGGCTTTACTGGTAGAATGATTAAGAAGGGATGGATTTGAGAGATGTTAAGAAGGTGATCTCAACAGGACTTGGTTTGGGATTGGATACAGGAGACACAGGGAGAGGCAGGAGTGAAGAATTATCCTGAGATTTTAGGCCTGGGTAACTTGGCAGATGTGGTAGACCAGGAATCCAGAAGGAAAAGGAGGATATGTGATCAGGCTAGTGGAAGTAGTGAACGTAAGTGGAAAGAATGGGTACAGGATAAGTTTAGTTTTAGAAATATTAATTTTGAGATGTTTGGAGTATGCAAAGAAACATGTTCAGGAAATGACTGGTGTTAGGAGAGTAAAGCTCAGGAGAGAAATGTGACTAGAGGTGAAAATGTGTGAATCACCAACACATACGGGATATTTAAAATCATCTTAGGAAGACATGTGATCTCCCTAGGAAGGCTTAGAGGGCTAAGGACAAAGGCCTGGCAAATACCCACATTTAGATGGGGCAGAGGCAGAAGAACTTATAAAGGGGCACAGAAAGAAATGGCTGAAGAAATAGGATGAGAAGGCCGGCCCATGGCTCACTTGGTAGAGTGCGGTGCTGATAACACCAAGGCCACAGGTTCGGATCCTATATAGGGATGGCCGGTTTGCTCACTGGCTGAGCGTGGTGCTGACAACACCAAGCCAAGGGTTGAGATCCCCTTACTGGTCATCTTTAAAAAAAAAAAAAAAAAAAAGAAAAAAAGAAATAGGATGAGAAACTGGAGAAAGCATAACAGAAACCAAGACAGGAGATGTCCAGAAGCAGCAGTTAACACTGCCAAAAGTTGTGGATTGTACAAATAAAATGAGGATTTAAAAGCATCTGCTAGATTTGGTGATGTCTGCCAAAACAAAACAAACAAACAAACAAAAAAAGTTTCTAAGAAATAGTAAGTTCAACATAAAGAATTTAAGTAATTCAGAAATTAAGATGAATGCCAACTATCATGTCAAATAGATGATTAGCTTTTGCAATGTGCTGATTTCCTTTTTTTATTGTGTGTGTGTGTGTGTATATATATATATAATATTATCAATAATTTTAACCATTTGTAAGTGTATAATTTGGCGGTATTAAATACATTCACAATTTTGTGTAACCATCCCCACTATCTACACCCCCAATTTTTCATCATACCCAATACGAACTCTGTATCCATTAAACAAGAACTTCCCCCTTTTCCCTCTCTCCAGCCCCTGATACCCTCTACTCTACTTTCTGTCTCTATTCAGTTTTGACTTCCATTTCCTTGATGATTAATGATGTTAAGCATGTTTTCATGTGCTTGTTCGTCATTTGTATATCTTTTTTGGAGAAATGTCTACTCAAGTCCTTTGACCACTTTTGAATTTTTTTTTGTTGCTGTTGTTGAGTTACAGAAGTTCTCTGTATATTCTGGATATTAATTCCCCATCAGATACATGACTTGCAAATATTTTCTTCCATTCTGTAGGTTGTCTTTTCACTTTCTTGCTATTGTCCTTTGACACAAAATAAAAAGTTCTTAATTTTGATGAAGTCCAATTTATCTTTTTTTGTTGACTGTGCTTTTGGTGTGACAGCCATAAAAACCAAACCCGACATTATGAAGATTTCCCCCAATGTTTTCTTCTAAGAGTTTTATAGCTTTAGTTCTTAAGTTTAGTTCTTTGATATATTTTGAGTTAATTTTTATATATGGTAAGGTAAAGGTCTGTATTAGTCCATTTTGTGTTGCTATAACAGAATACCTGAGACTGGGTAACTTATAAAGAAAAGAGGTTTATTTGGCTCACAATTCAGCTCACATCCAGCTGAGAGTGGATGAAGGCCTCAGGCTGCTTCCACTCTTGGCAGAAAGCCGAAGGGGGAGCTGGTGTGTGCAAGGAGATCACATGGCAAGAGAGGAAGCAAGGTGGGGAGGGGGAGGTGCCAGGCTCTGACAACCAGCTCTCAAGGGAACTGATAAAATGAGAGTCACTCACCACTGAGCGAGGGCATTAATCTTTTCATGAGGGATAAACCCCTGTGACCCAACACCTCCCACTAGGCCCCACTTCCCAACACTGCCACATTGGGGATCAAATTTCAACAAGCATTTTGGTAGGGGTGAATCATATCCAAACTATAGCACGGTCCAATTTCAATCTTTTGCATGTGTATGTCCAGTTTTCCCAGAACCGTTTATTGAAGAGACTGTCCTTTCCACATTGAATGGTTTTGGCACCCTTGTTGAAAATCAATCGGCTACATACATGAGAGTTTATTTCTGGACTTACTGCTTTATTCTTGTGATATTATGATACATATATGAAGGTACTTCAAAAAGTTCATGGAAAAATGTAATTAAAAGATAATACAAATCCTTCCACAAACTTTTTGAAGTAGCTTTGTGTGTGTGTGTGTGTGTGTGTGCGCGTGCACGCGTGCATGTTTTTGTCTATGGTTCTTGATTCTCCAAGGCAGAACTCTAGTTTTCCCCTGCCTTTCTGTCTTGGAGCTAGCCATAAAGAGTTTCAGAAGGGAGCAAGGAATACCCAGGAGCAAGGAATGTTGCACAGAGGCCAAGAAGAATTTGAACAAAAAGGCCTTGCTAGGTTTCTCCACTCAGTTTATTAGTATTATTAGATCATACCCTTTTTGTCCAATCATATTTCTACAAGGTTGTCAGTGTTTCAATCATGCCTATGTAATGAAGCTTCAATAAAAATCCAAAAGGACAGGATTCAGGGAGCTTCCAAAGAGCTGAACACGTGAAGATTCCTGGGGAGGCCATGGGAGCTCTGTGCCCCTCTCCTCATACCTCACCCTGTGCATCTCTTCACCTGTATCTTTTGTAATATCTTTTATAATAAACTGGTAAATGTAAATAAGTGTTTCCCTGAGTTTTATGAGCCACTCTAGCAAAATAATTGAAGCAAAGGTAAAGGTTGTGGGACCCCTGATTTATAGCCCATTAGTCAGAAGCACAGGTAAAACAGCCTGGGGCTTGTGATTAAGCACTTAAAAGTGGTGGGGTGGGCTGGGGGGGGGTCTTGGGGACTGAGTCCTCAACCTGTGGGATCTAATGTTATCTACAGGTAGATGGTGTCAGAGTTGAGTTGGAAGGCACCCAGCTGGTGTCTGCTGGAGAACGGGTTGGTGTGTGGGGGAAAAAGCCCACACATTTGGTCGCAGAAGTCTTCTGTGCTGATCTGTGTTGGCTGTGGCTTGAGAGTAGGGGAAAAACAGTATGTGTTTTTCATCACACTTCTGGTGGGATTTTTTTTTTTTTTCATTTTTGGTTAAAATGACACAAATTAATTATCTTACAGTTCTGAAGGTCAGAAACCTGACATGGGTCTCACTGGGATAAAATCAAGGTGTGAGCAGAGCTGTGCTCCTTCTGGAGGCTCTAGGGGAAAATCTGTTTCCTTGCCTTTCCCACCTTCTAGAGGCTGCCCACATCCCTTGGCTTGTGGCTCCTTCCTCCATCTTCAAAGGCAGCAGTGTAGCATCTTCCAGTCTGTCTCTGACTCTCTTGCTTCTCTCTAATTACACTGGGCCTACCTGGGTACTAAAGGATACACTCCCTTCCTCAAGATTCTTAATTTCATCTGTGTAATATTTTAAGAAAATACTTCCCCTCAGATTTTTCTGTTTAGCTAAAACCGTTGAAAAAAATTTTACCTTTATATTATGACAACTTTTTAACAGTCTCCATCACCATGGCTGATTCATCTGATTATTAGATTGGGCTTGGTAAAGTGCTATAAATTGAAATATCTAACTGAATGAGCAAACAATAAAGTCTTTTATATTCTAGAAAAAGTTCCAGACCCTCTACTAATATCTTCTTGCCTAGAATGCTTCACTGCATAGATGGGTTAACACTCCTTTCAATACAGCCTCTTGCCAAAGACTCAGAGCGTATGTTTATATTTATACTGTTTAATTTTTTATTTTTTGAATAGCTAATACTTGCCCGTGTTCCACAATTAAAAGATATAAAAGGGTACAGAATGAAAATAAAGTAGTACTTTAAAAACAGATCTTCAAGGCATGAGCCAAATTTTGTATATGCTTAATATAAAATAATGTTAGTCTGTTACCAAATCTCTTTATTCTCAAAACTTCCCCTTCTCTCTCTCTCTAACCATGTGGTTACAGTGAGAACCACTACCTTCATGTGTGACCCATCCCACAGGCCACTCTGATTAATTCAGCTGTGAATACCTGATCCAAGCTTCACCAAAGAGCTTTCTTCTTAGGGAATTCAGAATTAGAAGTAAGAAGAAATTCTAGTCTCAGACTGGCTAGTCTTGTGAACCAAATAGCTGCCAGGAGCAGTTACTTTCTTCCCAGTGACTGAGAAGCTAGTCTGGAGAAGGAAAACAATGAAGAGAAGTGACCAGAGATGAGAGAAGAAGAGAGACTCTCCTTTCTTCCACATAGTGTTTAGTCCCAAGGTTCTAGTCTTTTTCTGAGACCCAATAGCACCAGTGCTCTTGGATGCCTTGCCTTTACCCTGTACCCTAATAACAATCTACTGTAGCTTCTGCTTAAGTTTGCTCAAGTAGGTTTCTGTTATTTTTATCAAAGAAGGTTTCAACTTACATATTTTTTCATGTGAATAATGAGGTATAACAAATCAAACAATCAATCATATAACTGTCAGTGGCTTGAAAACCATTTTTTTTAAACCCCATACATGTTGATAGTCAATATAGTAATTTTATTCACTGTTGAAATATGTTTTAATATTGTTAATAAAGAATTATAAGTAATAACATTTATTTTCTTTCATTTATTTTCTCAGTAACTAAAATTCCTTCTTTAGTGCTTCAAAAATTAAGAGCAGAGCTTTATTATACTCACTTTTCAGTGGTTCTTTCTCTATTCACTGTTGAAATATGTTTTAATATTGTTAATAAAGAATTATAAGTAATAACATTTATTTTCTTTCATTTATTTTCTCAGTAACTAAAATTCCTTCTCTAGTGCTTCAAAAATTAAGAGCAGAGCTTTATTATACTCACTTTTCAGTGGTTCTTTCTCTAAATGGGAATCTTCTGGTGCATCAAAACGACCTTCTGGAAACTTTGGCTTCTTAAGGGATTGTTTGACAGGTTCAGACTTTCCTTCTTGAGAAGAACTTGTTTTCCTCAAAGAATTACACAGAAGGGGTGATCCTAGCAGAGTGGAGACAGTAGAAAAATAAGAGGTGTACATTTATTCTACTTTAAAAACTTAATAATTTTACATATTTGTTTTTAGCTTATACATTCATATTTACCACAGTTCAAAAGGTAAAAAAGGACATACAGTAAAAACTCTTCCCTCTGCCCCTATCTTCTAGACAGCCATTTCCCTTCCTTAGAGACAACCAATGTTACCAGTTTAAAAAGAAAAGCTATGAAATAAGTTAGTTAACCATTACCAAAATTGTAGAAACTTATATAAAACACTGATTCTTATCTGAAGCAATGACAAAATACCAGGAATTGAGGCATTAAGAGTAACCAAGTAGTATGAACTTTTCAATGATAATATTTAACATTTAAATCTCTAGAAGTCACAAGGAACTATATTCTTATATTTAAATCCTAATCACGGTGCTCTTTTCCTGTCAACTAAAAATTTTAAAATATATTGGGCATCTGCGATATGTGAGATCACTTTTTCTCTAGGCTGTAAAGAGAAAGTTAAACTTTCAGTACTACGAAAATGATCCAACCCCTTGTTGAGATAATGTTCAATAAGGGCAAAAACCACTCTAAAAAAAACGACCACAGCATTGGGGGTTTTCAACTTCCTAAAGGAAGATAGGTTTGGGTCCCCGTTCCAACTACACCACTGTGGCAGGCAGAATAACGGCCCCCAAGATGATCAGAAACCAATATCCAGAAGCTGTGAATAGGTTAGGTTACATGGTGAAGGAGAATTTTGGTAGCGGATGGAATTCAGTTTCCTAATCAGATGACCTTAAACTAGAGAGATTATTCTGGATTATCTGAGTGGGTCAATGTGATCATCATAAGGGTCCTTACAAAGGGAAGAGAGAACAACTGACAAGCTTAAAGCCAAAACCATCTTTCAAGAATATAAGGAACCACCATAAAGTCCATGTCTTCTACTTCAAGTGGTGGTCTGGCCCTATCTGAAACCTACTTAGAATTGTGTTTACACATACATTACAGGCAAGAAGATGACCTTCTAAAAAAAGAAATAATTTAAAAAGCAAAGGAAAAATAGTAAATCACCATTAAAATATATACACACATACAACAACAACAAGCAATTCAGAACTTCTGTTTCTGTCAATTTGATAAGTAAAGATGCCCAAACCCTACAGCTATAAAACGTTTAAAAAGGCCAAAAATTATTTTAAAATAACCTTCTAAACCACAGAAAGAACCTTTAAGAAAGTAAATAATGATAGGCTAAAAATGTCCAATGAGGTAAACAAACAAACTGAAACTGCTACATATCCTGTGTCTTTCTTGCCTACAGCTGGGGGTATGGAGCTTTTAGGACAGCAGTTTTCTTAAGCCTGAGCAAAACAGAAAGCCTATTAGAGGCCAGGACTTAGGGAAGCTCACACACAGAGAAAAGAAAGTGAACTGGAAGATTTAAAATGTGCATACAAATCACCTGTGGGATTTTTTAAAACTGCAGATTCTGAGTAGTTCTGGGTAGGACTTGAGATTCTGCATTTTTAATAAGCTCCAGGTTGATGCACATGCTACTGGTCCAAAGAGCAAGGAAGAAGAAGGAAACCTCCAGTTAAGGAAGGAATGCTGTCCATCTCAATGGTGGTTAAGTTCAGAGTGGAGATGTGAAAAAAAAGAAGCCCTTCTGAGATTTCTGAAGCCACTGGCTGACCACACCTGTGTTTGGGTCTGATTACACATTATCTGTATGGCTCAAAAACCTCCAAGGGGAGCATCTTACTATAAAGTGCACCCAAGTCTAAAGTGCTCCCAGATGCACAGCAAAAGCTGAAGCAAATCCTCTGAGAAGAGATATTCTCTCAACCCGTATCTCACGAAGTCCCACAGAGAGAATCTCAGTAAAACATTCCAGAAAACAAGCCAACAAAACAAGAGCCAGCAGAATCAACAAAGAGAGCAGTGACCAAACCATGAAGATTTCATATATTCAACTCAGAATATAAAATAACTAATTAATATATTTAAAGAAATAAAAAGGCCAAAAATAAGTGATAAGAGAGTATGAAAAATAACTACACCAAGTTAAAAAAAAGACAGTTAGAAATATAATGACTTACATTTAAAGCTCAATGAAAAGGTTAAATAGCAGAATAAATACAACTGAAAAGACAATTTGTGATCTGGAATAAAGTTCGAAGAAGTTATATAAAACAAGGCATAGAGACAGAGGAAAACAACGAAAGAGACATTAAAACAAACAGACGGTAAAATGAGATAGTCTAACAAATGTTTGTTTAATCACAGTTCCAAAGGGAGAGAATGGAAAGACCAAGAGAAGCACAAAAGACAGGTATCTTCTGATTTAGGAAGCAGAAAGAACGGCAAACAGAACTAAAAAAAAAAAAAAAAAAAAAAAAAAAATCATACCTAGACGTAAAGTAAAATGAGAACCCCAACATTAAAGGAAACAGCCAGATAAAAGATAACGTATAAAAGAACAAAATTCAGACTGACAGTTGGCTTTCAAATAGCTATAATGGAAGAAATGAGAAAAAGATAAACTCATTGAAACCACCTTTCGAGAACAAGAGAGAAATGAAGACATTTTCAGATTTAAGATGACACAGATAACTTTACCAATCAAGATTCCCACGAAAGGAACTTCTAGACAATGTACTTCAAGAAAGCGATCCCAAAAGAAAAGTGAGATAAGAAGAAATAGAGAGAAAATAAAATGCTTTTATACATTGACTGTACAAAACAGTAATAATAACATTTGGTTTGTAGGTTTATCAAAACCACAATCCCACTCCAACACACTCTCTCTCTTTCTCTCACCCCAAGAGATTGGACAACAGAGGTGGAGGTGAGTGAACTCAAAGCATTCTTAAGCTTGGTACTGTTCTGGAGGGGGGTTAAAGATATGAACTAACTTTAGACTGCTTAAGTATTCATTTGAATTTCAATGGTAACGAATAAAAGAAAAGAAAAACTATCTACCAAACCAGCAGAGGGAAAAAACTGGAAGAAGAAAACATTTAGTTGAAACAAAGCAGGACAATTAGAAGATGCAAAAAATAAGATGGTAGAAATAAAACCACTTATATCAGTAATTTTAATAAGTGTAAACAGACAGAACTCTCCAGTTAAAGGGTATAGATTGTCAGACTGCAAAAACAAAACAAAACAAAAAAACCCAAATCCGGCCATATGCTGTTTATGAGATGCGCCATTTCCACAGAAAAGAACCCAGAGAAGACTGAAAAATAAAAGAGAATTAAGTAATATAACTAAAAGATACAATTTATAATTTAAAAACCTTTTACAATATATTCTTGTTTCTTTCAAATTGAGAAATAAATATTGTATATATTTATGGTTTACAACATGGTGTTTTGAAATGTATACAATGTAGAACAGCTAAATCAATCTCACATATGCATTACCTCACATACTTACCATTTATTTGTGGTGAGAACACTTAAAATCTACTCTCAGCAATTTTCAAGTATACAATACATTGTTACCAACTATAGTCAGCATGTCCTACAACGAACGATCTCTTGAACTTATTTCCCATGTCTAACAAATTTTGTATCCTCTGCATAATTTACAATTAGCAAAGAGGATCAACAAAACCAAAAGTTGGTTCTCTAAAAAGACTAAAACAACTGGGAAGCCTTTGGTAAAGCTAATATGAAAAAAAAAAAAAAAAAAAAAAAAAAAAAAAAAAAAAAAAAAAAAAAAAAAAAAGAAAAAGCAAGACAACACGAGAAAAAGAGAGTATATAATCATATGGAGGGCAGAAACTTAAGGCAGAGATTTAAAAACACCCAGGACCGTTACACCCATATACTGAAACTATACAGAATGAACACTTTCCTAGAAAAAGTTAAGTTACTAAAACTGACTTAAGAAACAGAAAACCTGATAAATTCTATGACAATCATTACAGAAATTAAACCAGTAATTTAAAATCTTCCTTCAAAGAAAGGCGCAGGTGTAGATAGTTTTGCAGGCAAGTTGCAAAAAACATGCAAGGGAGGGATAATTCCAGCCTTAACAAAACCTAACAAAGAAAGGAAAAGGGTGAGTAAACTATGGAATTCAATGTATGAGGCTAGAATAACCTGACTTTTAAAACCAGAAGAGGAAAAGTGTAAGAGAGGAAAATTGCAGGCTAATTTCTAAACAAAATATTAGCATACCAAATCTAATATTATATTTAAAAAATATAATCACCACGATCAATTTGAATATTTTCTAGAAATGCAAGAGTAATTCACCACTAGAAATTGCCTGGGGTTTAGGCAGGAGCCAAGGGCAGTCCCCTCTGCCCGGATGCAGGTAAGAAACAGAGCACGCCCGGGTCCTAGGCAGGAGCCAAGGGCAGCATCCCCCTCTGGGAAACTGGCAAGGAGCACACGGAAACATCACCTCCTAGCAGGTGGCCCACCACAGCCATCACCACAGCCATGGCGGCTTGACACGACAGCAGTAACCACAGCTACCATGCAGGTGACCTGCCAGACACCCGACTGTAGTGACACAAGAAAGGTCACCAGTGGAGACCAGAAAAAGAAAAGGACATCTCTCTCCCTCCTCAAAGCCCACTCCAACGTAACAGAAGCAACTGCTCTACCATGCCCCTGCTGTATTTCTGATTTTAGTAATTTCTGTCTTCTCTCTTTTTCTCTTGGTTAGTCTAGATAAAGGTTTGCAAATTTTGTTGATCTTTTTTTTTTGTCTTTTTTTTTTTTTTTTTTTTTTT